TGACCTTCCGGTGTATGTATAGTGATACGTTTGTAACATTGAGCGACCCATTGCGGGAACATTTAGCAGAGGCCTTAAACTAAACATACTTAATCAATTTGACTTATTGAAGCTGGTTTTGTTGTGGGGTTTTAATCGCTAAAATTTTTATACTTGACAATAAATACTGATTATATAAGAAAAATGCACTTCTGAACCTTTTTTGCGTATAGTATTATCCCGATACTTTCAATTTCTTTCTCATGAAAGGAAAAACTGTTGGCAAATCCCTTTAACTACATCTTTAACTTAACGTTTAGCAAAAGACTTTGAAAATTTTTATTCAGAGGGAATTGACGAGAACTTCAAAGTAAAACAAATATGTATGCTCCATGTAAAAAACTCGTTATTATCAAATGCTATATCAAGTTAAACACTCTTATTCAGTGATACTTAACGGTCGAAGTGTGGCGAGGTCATATTTCCTACTTGAAACACCACAATGTATTTTAGAGGAACTTAGATTTCATTCTACAAGAAGTAATCCACCTTATACTCATGCTTCCCTTTCTAAGAAAGAAATTCTTTAAAAATGTACGTCAGTTTTGAATATTTTTAATATTCCATACAACCAAAATGAATTATAATTACCATATCTATAATGAATTCCCAAAATTCCCAAATTCTTATAAAGATACATAGGGGCTTCCAGTAAATGTTCAACCAAGCCTTTTTGAAAATTTTCAAATCCCAAAATTTTACAAAAGTCAACACCTTTAAGACTGATTTTTTCAACTTTTTACACCACTATTCCCCACGAAAAATTCAAGTCCAGTTTTTTAAATATAATTTCTATAAAACATATTCGAAATTCACTTAGGTTGTCATTGGTCATTTGCAAAATTATTTTGTTAAAAAACATTCTGATTGTACACACAAGTACTCTGAAATTGACATTAAATAGGTGCTTGAGTTTCTGATTGACAATATCTATGTGGTTTTTGGAGACCAGGTCTTCCAACAGTCTATTGCGATTCCCATGGGTACCAATTATTTCACGTTATTAGGAGACGTATTTTTACATTTATATGAAACAAAATGTGGCCAAAATCGTACATGTATACGTGAAAAGAAGAAAACATTTGCTGTGACCTTCAACTCGACATTTAGGTATATTGACGACGTACTGTCAACTAACGATGATTATTAACATTCTTATGTCGATACGATATATCCCAGTGAGCTTGAGATAAAAGATACTACAATGTCTGACACATTTGTTTCAAATTGGATATTTTACTTGAAAAAGACGTTATTGGTATAAAATGAATCTCTGAACAGGACATAGGACACGATCGACGAATATTCCACATATAAGAAAGATAAATTATAATGACTATGATTGACGCTATTTATTCTTATTTTAGTCCATTATTTACACACTGAATTGTCAAAGAATTTTTCCGTTTCCCACCTCTGATGTTTAGGAGGTATTTGCTATGCTCTAGATTTGTATGGTTTCAATGACCCTTTGAGCTTGATTACTGTTCTTAATCCTTATTTTTCATGTATAGTTTTCTTTATTTAATTCAATCTTTAATTCAACTGTACTTATAAACAAATCATTTGAAGAGATGAAAATATCTTAATATGAACAAAGATACATTTATTTTCAATTTGGCCTTCCACATTTTTCCAGAGTACTCAGTAAATAGTCAATGTATGGCTGAACTGTACTTGCTTCATGTGGAATTGAGTCACGTCTCAAGTACAATCAAGTTTTGAACCGAGGGAGGCAATTGACAGATAATTATAAATTGATGTTACACAGGAGTATCAGAAATTCTTTGGTCGCTATTATGACCTTGTAAGCAAATATAACCTAAACCAGGGTCGAATTTTGCGTGACGTATATCGTACATTTCTTGTGTTTTTACAATGAATATGACTACAGAATGTCCAGTCTACCTGACCAATGCATACTCCTCCCTCCTATTGATCTGATCCAACCTCTAGAATATCCAATACCTAATCCAAGATCTGATTTTTTCATCGATATTTCTTTGGATCGAGCACTGTTTTATCTTAAGTTTTCTCATCTGAATTTTTTTTCAAATAAAAAAAGTTCTGAAGATAAAATATTATTAAAAAATTTTTGAACCTAGTATCATTGGTTTATTCCCCGAATGGCTACTGGAATAAAACAACAAGTAATTATCACACTCAATTAAGGGGCCTTCTAAGGGGTACAGGTAGACTTACCGGTATGAATAATCTACCATAATTGAAACAAAATAAAATGGAAATTCATCTCATTTTATTATAATTTGAGCACTTTATAAATATTTTGTATACTTAATAATAATAATTTTAAGAGCACAAATCATATTAAAAACTATAAATTATCTTGAAGTTCTATTGATTAGCAGCACTGATTTTCACATTACATATGAGATAACACTGTTTCACTTTCATATAACACATATATTTACAATTTATTTAGTCCATCTCCGTATATTTCTTTGCAACTAAAGGATTGCTATGAAAGGTGAAGAAGTTCATAAACTTCATCTGGATTTTATGATTATTTAATAGAATGTTTTGATAATTCAAAATGATAGAGAAATAAAATAAATTAAACAAAACTTTATAGAAACACTTTATTTATCATACATATATATCTACCGGTATATTATTTAAAAAAAAAAACACTTGTGTTAATTTATCTAAAAGAGTTTGAAAATGTAGCACAAAAAGGGATAATAATTCTTAAGTTCTCAATCAATACTATTAATAATTTGGGGAAAAATTAAATTAAAGGTACAATAAAAATTTCACTTTTCTTAAATCTTAATTTTATCTACTTATATTTATATATGATTTAATTAAGTATATTTCGGAAAATAGAAAACCCTCTGAATTAAAATATAATTGAATGAATATATCTGATTTACAAAATATTGCTTATCCAGGTAAACACAGGTAAGTCTACCTGTACCCCTTAGAAGGCCCCTTAATTGAGTGTGATAATTACTTGTTGTTTTATTCCAGTAGCCATTCGGGGAACACACCGTATCGTTTGGCATAAAGTGAAATATGAGTATTTAAATTTAGAAATTTAATAGGCATTAAAAATTGTTAGTTCTCCAAATTGAGTAATATTTTAACAGATAAAACCTTTAAATAGTATAACGCATCAATGCGCTATTTCATACATATATTTCAGATCTATCGATATCACTTTTCGTCATCTTCTTCCTTTTTGTCCCCCGCTTGAAAAGTGGGGGATATTAATTTGGGTTTGTCCGTCCGTCCGTCCGTCTGTCCGTCCCTCCGTCCGTCCGTCCGTGTTTACGAGAGTGCATTTATTGGGTATTTTTCATGCCAAGATTGTACTTATTGGGTACTTTTTGCTTATTGGGTATACCCAATAAGAAGTGTCGCCGAATATGCTTAAAATACCCTAATTGTATTTGCAGGTTAGTACCCAACAAAACTTGGACACGACGATTTGTCCAAAAAAGTGTCCAAAAAAGTTGCTTTCACGGACGCACCGTGTTTTGTTGTTTCAGTTTTACATTCGGAACTCTAAATTCTCAAGAGTTCCGAAAATCAACTTCCGTTGATCCTGATCATAACAACGTTTGTTTTCGGGTGCGTCGATTTACCCAAAAGGACCCAAAAGGAACCCAAAAGGACCCAAAAGGAACCAAAAAGGACCCAAAAGGAACCCAAAAGAACCCAAAAGGAAATCAAAAGGACTCGAATTAATATATTACAATACATTGAAAATTAATAATTTGAATTAAATTATGAATATTATATTATAAATTTACCTAAAAATTGGCAAAAACATACATTTATATTGTTGCAACTTTTCTTAAAGAAAATACATACGACTTTTATAACACATCAATCATTAAATCTGGTCAGATATGCTTTGATTTCTTTTAGCTGAATTTAACAAAGTGCACTGTATTATTCTATTTCTCCTTCTGTTTTATTATATCTTATTATATGATATTTGATAAATAAAGAAATAAGTTTATTTAATGAAATGTTCTAGGCATATGGTATCGGGGATGGGTGGGGGTGGGGGATGGGGGGGGGGGGCTCCCACCTCAACCCAAAGACGCACTTTACCCTCAAAAAACCAGTTTTAGTTTTAATAAAATATGAAAGTATTCATTATATATCCATTTAATCTCTTTATTTCAAGTCCTTTTGGGTCGTTCTTAATTTCCTTTTGGGTCCTTTTGGGTTCCTTTTGGGTCCTTTTGGGTAAATCGACGCACCGTTTGTTTTCATGGAAAAAAATATGGCGACTAAGAAACACTTAGAGCGACTTCATTTGGAACTATTGTACAAACTATAGTTACTCGCGTAACATATGAACATGTTTTGTATCAACAAAAATGACATCACTTCACCTTTGACCTTAACCCGTGATGAACACAGGCAGGACCCTAATACTCCTGTGGTTAACGAAGATCAAATATGGCGGAAACAGTAGAAACGTGAGTGCAGAGAATTTGTTTTTAATTGTTTTCAGGCTTTGTGCAATGATTTTGATTATGTTTTCCAGTGTTTTCGTATTTTACATGCCGTCACTTTTATTTTGCATGATTTTAAAAAAAACTATAATCCATTATAGGTCGCTAAAAATGTTTGGATCTGAATTTTTTTGATCCATGTAGAGAAACTATAGAGTATAGTTATCGGTGCCTCTAAAATTGAAATCTTGATGCGTGAGCAAGGAGGGGAAGAGGGGGGGGGGTAAAAGGTAAATGAAGGTCATCACTGTGTGACAAACTGAAAGACTTGAGCCCCTAAACATTTCACATGTAGCGTATGCACTTTTGTTTTTAAGCTAAGCTTTCACAATTTTTATGACATATTGCATTACCTTTATTTGAAATCAACTCACATGTAAGCTAAATTCAGACATATCATTATCAGATTTAGTCAACTGTCAGCACTTGTATGTTATCATAATCAAAATTATTTTTTTATATAGAATAATGAATAAATTAAAATAAGACAACCTCACAACAATTTAAAAAATATTTAGAAAATATAATTTTAAAAATAATCACAGATTTCCAATTTCCAAATTGCTAGCATGTTAGTACTGTGTCATTTTAAAAGAAGATATTTTATTTTCTGTTCACTGTTTTCTACCTAAATATGGTTTAGTACTTTATTATAATGCTTTGTTTTAATTAAGAGTTCAAATCACAGTGAAAAGGAGGAAGACAGGAGAGGAATGTACATGTGTTATGTCCAAAGACCTTGCAACATTTTTGCAGGATCCCAAAGGAGGTAGGTATAATATTTTTCAGTAAAGGAGAGTGGTATGACAAAAAAGATATCATACATTATAAATGCTTAATTTTTTATTCCTATTAACTGAAATGTTTTAAGTTTTTAACAGAAATAAACTGATTTCTCCCTTCATGGTTGTTATGTTTACAATCTGGTAAAAAAGTTTTAAGAAGTCTGGAATCTGTAGCGTTTACAACTTTACATCGTATTTATGTAATTTATTTTTATTATTCAGATCCAGACACTAAAGAATCGATATACAGACTTATGTTTGATTCCGAGTCGCCTTCGGAATCAGCTGCATTGCATCCTGAATCAGTGGCTACAAATACACAGAACTTTGAATCACCTGGCATGAATATGCAAAAACCTGAGTCAAATCCTGAATCACCTACTGCAAATGCACAATTACCGCCTGCTAAATCATTGCCAAAGACAGTTCCTATGGAAGATGATGATCAAAAGGTACATTTTGGCCTTAATTATAATTTGGATGACGGAGACAAAATTCTGAACTGTTATGCCCCCAAACTCTTACAGATATATTATTCTGAATCATCTGAATCTGGGTCTTTTCCATCGTCATGCTTGGCTTCAACAAGATGTTTTACCTCATCTTTATTCACTCCATCTTCTCCTTATATGTATACAGAAAATAACATGATTCAAGTGGGTCCTAAAACATTTCTGACCCCAGAAGAGTTTCAATCAAATATTAATTTGAAATTAAAAGACTTCAATAGCTATGGAAAGAAGAACAAGAGAAAAAATAGGAAGAAATCTAAATGTTGTAAGCTTATACATATATATCATATACATGTATTGCTAAATATTTAAAGCCGCTTCATCCGAAACAGGCACATATTATCTTAAACAACAAAAGTATGTCATTACATAGATAATATATAGAAATTAATTATAAGATTGATTTTAAACTTTATTACAACAATCCTTACATGGAAAACATAGACCAAAAACCTTGTTGACAAACAGCGGTTCCTGACGGGAAGTTAAGATCTGTTTTGAAGTCACCTTTGAAAAAAATACTTTTATCGGTTATATCTAATGATAAAGAGAATTCAAACCTGAGTATTTTTTTCCATTAGAAGAATTCTAAGTTATGATATATCTTTTAAAATTAAGAAATTAATTGAATATTATCCATAATAATTTTTATATTAATATGCATATTTCCAGAATAAAGGAAAATCAGATATTTTTAAAGATTTTTTAAAAAGGGAGTTAAGTAACGAGGGAGAATATTGCCCATGTACATTTTGTTGTGGAAAAAATGCTCGGGTTTGTTCTTCATGAGTTATACATGTAAGCGATAAATTTAATTTTTCGAAGGTGATTTCTCGCAATGTCAACAGATGTCAACAAAGGATTATTTTTTGTGTGACCTAACAAAAGATATTTTTTAAACTTTTGAATTTTGATATCTTTAAAAAGAAAAAGACTTTGGGGATATAATTTGACGAAAGTTGAAATAATTTATGGACAATTATTTTTCAAAAAGAAAAACGAATATATATTTTTAGCGATTTTAATCGGAGCAAGCGGCTTTAAGTAAGGCACGTTTATTGTTTTAACAGTTAAAAGTAGAAAAAGTAATGACAGGTGGTTGAGAAAGTGATTTCTTTACTGCAGATGGCTAAATAGACACATTATAAATTAATTAGCTGTGTATTTTTTCAATAAATGAACTTTTACATCTTTATTTTGACTTTAAATATTGTATAGTCTACATAGCCATCAGAGCAGATTCATTACAAGTACCCTGGTATATGCACAATAGTTTATATGAAATGCTCTTTCTAAAAGTATACCGGATATTACATTTATAGAAAATTTAATTAATAAATAACTCTTTTCAGGTTCACATATGGGGCGAAAGTGAAGAAAGGCAACTAATTTTCCAACGAACCATGTTTGATGAAGCCTTTCATAAAAACAAAAATCATGACACATTATGGAATAAAATTCATGAAAACATGAATGCTGAAGGAATTAAGGTTTCCAAGCTGCAAATCCTGAATAAATTTAGAAATATGAAAAGGAAATACAAAGAAACTATCGACTTAAATAAGCAAACTGGAAATGAAAGAATTGAATATAAGTACCAAAAAGAATTCGATGATTTATTTGGCAACAAACCATCAACCAAAGCAACAGTATCGTTTGACAGTGGTGCAAGTGTTGCAAAGCAAGAGAAAGAGATACCGGTAACCGATAAGAAAACAACTGATAAAAAATCAACTCACCCAAAGAAAAGGTCAGCAGAAATGATTTATACTAAAATGGAAACTATGCATAAAGAAATGAGGGAACAGATGCAAAGGCACCAGGAAGAAAAGCTGCAACGCTTTGATAGACTTCTTGATATTTTCGAGAAATCTGTTGATAAAAAGTAAACTTTAAAGTGTCCCAAAATTGTCTACATACATGTATTAGGCTCAATTTAATTTCAGAAACCTCTGATTACCTGTCTTCTTTTTTGTTGTATTTTTACAAGTAGTAAAGGAATATTTTGAATTCATAAACTTTTATGTTGCAGATAAACAACCTTTTTCTGTTGATACATAGTTATATGTATTAAACGTGTATTGAACTACAGTTCTAATGTACAGTTGTGTGATTTACCCAAAATATGACAATCATATATTTTTTTTGTCTGTACATCAGAAAATTAAATGGTTTGTTTTTTGTTATTTTTGTTGCTCAGATTTTAATTTTGTTAAGTTTGTTGTTCTGAAGAAAGATATTCAATGAAAAAAAAAACAATTGAATTAGCTCTCCTTTTTTATTATGAACTTAAACAATGATGGTTTTAAATTTGTGCAAATACAAGCAAAAAGTCATGGAAGTCCCTGAACAAGCTGATTCCTCTTTTGCACCCCATCTCTCCCATCAGGGTACAGGTTGGGGTAATTATTAGGGTGTCCATTGCCATCGTTAGGGTCATTTGTTAAGAAATCTTCCACACTATCATGATGCAAGATACAAAGATTGTGTAGTATGCAGCCAGATACAATTGTCTTGACAATCTCATCAGAGTCATGTATGGTTATTTCCTGTAGTCGCCGAAACCGTTGTTTTAGATGACCAATAGCCCTCTCTACTACTTGTCTTGCAGATGACAAAACTCGATTAAATCTCCTCTGATTTATGTTTAAGCGACCGTTGTCTTTAAACGGAGTTATTAACCAAGCTTTCAATGGATATGCACTGTCTGCTATTATATACTTATTCACGTCAAAGTACTGTCCAGCTGTAGCATTGGTAAAAAGACTTGAATTCCGTAGTACGCGAGCATCGTGAGTTGACCCCGGCCAACCAGTGTATATGTCCCTTAACATTAAATCATTGTCAACTACTACCTGTAATTTTAAAAAATGTATATTTTTAGTATGTGTTATTCATTAACAAGGTAGTAACTTACTCAATAGTCAGTTTCATATTTTATCACCTGGAGTTGTATTGAGGGGTAATGTTTCCTGTTAATATAGTCGTTATCTCCACCAATGCAAGAAGATAATCTTATGTGCGTCCCATCCAGAGCACCTATTATGTCTGGAAGCCCAGATTGAAGCTGAAAGTGTTGTGCAATTCTCTGTTGCTCGATGAAATCAGGCCATTGGATAATCTAAAATGATTGTAAAAAACATCTCTGAGGAAAATTATATACTAGTACATGTAGAGATGTACATGTGTGATCTTGGCTTAAGAACTGAAGAATGCAAAAAAAAAACCTTCACATGACTCAAGACTTCAAGGTCAAAATCAGTTTTTTTTCACATGGCCTTAAAAATGTCACAGGTATAAAATGACATGCCAAGGATGATCTATTGAAATAATGGCATGACACTATAATGGGAGATTGTAGTATCAAAATCAAAAGTTAAATCAGAGCACAGGGTTGTTTTTAAATGAGCTTTGGTCCTCTGAGTCTGATATTTCAAATAAACACATGTTAAGATTTTCCCAATAATTTGCAAAGAGGCCCAGATCAAAAGATTAAATGATTTGAACATATTTTATTGTAATATAATTACAAAGGGATTGAGCACAAGTACTGAATACTTATAACGCCCTCTCCCTATACATGTAAATTACACATTGATATTGTCACAGTTAAACATGCTATATAAAGGATTCAGAATTTGCAAAAGTAAACAAATTGATGCATTTTGCATATATGTATAAATATATAAAAGTTGAACAAATTCATATATTAATATATAGGTACAGTAATTAACAAGGAAATCTACCAGAATGCTTAATAAATGTTTGAACATAAGAAAAGAGACGTTCATTCTCTGCAACACTCAGTGATTCAACCCCCCATAATAAGACATGTGTATCTAGTATGTGGATTTTATCAAATTGTAAAAAATTATTTAAAAATTCATTTCTGGCGTTCGCATACTTTGGACATACGAAAAAATAATGATATGTGTCCTCAACTTTACCGCATGTGCACAAGGGACTTGATATTAAATTGCATCTATAAAGGTCGTTATTTAATACACAATTATGTCGTAGTCTGGTTTGAAGAACATTAAGTCTTCTGTTACCGTAATCAAAGTAAGAAGGTGGGGCAGATCTAGATTTTTTATTACTAATTTTAGATTTGAATTTTGACATTGACTGTAAATTTCGAGTTTCAAGTGGAATGGAGTTCCATTCGTTAACTACAGTAGGAATAAACGTAGACTTATAAGTTTGTAATCGACACTTTGGAATATCATAATTTTGAGAATTTCTTGTCGAGTAGATAGATGTGTTACAGCGCATATTTGGAAGGATGTCCATTAAGTATTCTGGCACTAAATTATTATGAAGTTTAAACATTGTTTTTAATCTAGCTTAAGTAGATTAAATCTACTTTTATATGCAACTCAAATTTAAGCGATAATTTAAGGAAATCCTCTAAACAAAGAAAATGCAACACTTCTATATAATAATTGCATTATAATTATGCGAAAGGGGGGGGGGGGGGAGGAGGTTACTATAAATAATATAGGTGTCCACTTTTTAACACAATGACCTTCGAAAGGTTTTCGTTGAATGCGCTGTTGACTCTTTTCAACACACCATGCACTGTGGATTGTCCTATGTCAAAGTAATGACCAATTTCTCGCATTGTCACTTTATTTGACATATAACACATGAATACAAGAAGTTGCTTAGATGGAGGAATCCCTTCAATGCCCCCGCCGTGGTTAGATGTGAGGTAGGCACCAATATTAACGAGTATTTCCTCGAACATTTCTTTGCTTATTCGATAATGGTACCGAAAATTGTCTGTAGAAAATAGAGGAATAACATTTTCAACATAACCGGGTACTCGTGGTGACACTGCTTTTAAGCAATGATGGAGAACGGCCCCGGTTTGAAGTAAGAAGTTGCTATATTCGTATGTAAATTCATCCTCAGTATCATCTAACAAACTTTCAAACATAAAAAAGCATAACATCTTTTTCTGCGCCATTTTGGAAAAAAACATGCGTACCTACTATCGTTGTTCAGTTGATTTTATGCAAATTTGGGTTAAATTTAGACAGATGACGTCAGTTATCCATGTACAATAGTTCCAAATGAAGTCGCTCTAAAATGTCAACAAAATTTTCTGATTGACAAGAGAAAAGGTAAGTTTATTCGATTAATATTTACCCATTGCTGGGTTCTTGTTTAAGGAAAATAAATTTTAATGTCATTTTGAAAACAATTGTGCACAAAATTAAAATAGATATATCGGAACAATTAATCCTAGGTTGCACTTGTTTGTATTTTGAATTTTCTCTGTCTTTTTAACTCTCTTGAGGGCGAGAAGTAATTAGTAAATGATCGTATATTGTTAGATAATCTTTAATTAATCGAAAGTGTTTATTATTTAATTTTATATCATAACCAACTAAGTATGTTCTGACAATGTATATTGGAAAGGGAAATGAAAATTTTAACAATCGTGTGTTAATAAATCAGCTGTAAATTATCGGTTCATGTAGACAGTATTACAATCGCAAAGTGAGCTGAGATGATGATAAATGGGATAATTGACAACAACTAAATAATTGTATGTAAGTTTATCTCATCTGATATGTAACTTAAGAGATTCACTGCATTACTGAAAAACTTTCAGTCAAAACAGTGCTTCTTTCAGTCTTTGATTTTGACTGTTAAATCTAAAGCAAACTAGCATGGCGCGGCGCCATGCCCTTTTTTCTCGGCGCCATGCCCTTTTTTCCAGCGCCATGCCCTTATTTCCTAACCCAAATTAATAAATATGCCCAGTTTAGGCAATATTCCTTTGCTGTTCTGTTCATTCAGTGCATGCTGATAATCCCTTTGTTTAAACAACGACAGGAAATCACTTCACGCTTGAACACACACACACAGCCACCTGGCTAATTAACATGCCTCAGGCTGTCAGGGTAGAGGATTTAACTTGAGAAACTGTCATTTGATTGCATTGATTATGCAAGAATTAGCCCAAGACCAAAGATAAAAATCAGGATCGTTTTTTTATAAACCGAAAGTAGAATAAAACACATAGTTCAACTTGAAGAAAAAACGGATATTTTATCTGAATAAAATACTTACAGTGTACCAAAAAACTGAATGTAATGTGATAAAATGGCTTAAAAACAACAAACTAAGTTAGTTTCTTTGATTGAACTGATAGATTTGACAAGCTGAGGGTCAAAGTTTCTAATTAAAGCCAGAGTTGTTTTTTTTTAAACAAATTATGCATGGCAGTAAGACCAGTTTTCACATGATCCTGTTGGTAGAATATTTTCCAAGTGCGTTTTTCAAAATGCCCATCCCCCCTTCCCTGAAAAAAGTATTTTCCTTTAATGTTTAAATTGACTGTACTTGTAAACAAATAACAGTCCAAGCAGGTAAAAAAACAATCATACCTCCAAACTTTTATAATATTTGCACCTGTTTCAGCTAGATTAATACCATTACTTTCTCAAGTGTAACCTTACTACTTTTTTTGTTGAAGAAATTGGATGTAAATGCCTTTTTTATATTCCTTTTGTTTCTGAATCAATAATTAATACATTGTTAAAAAAAAAGAATGGAATACAGATATATGAATTTATCTTTAAATTACTTGTTTTAGATAAAGATTTCAATATGAAAGGATATTAAAAGTAATTAAACATGTTAAAGTATGTAAAAATTAAAAAATGTTAAATGTAATTTCAATGACATTAACATTTGTTTTCAAAGTGCCCTCTTGAGATCCTGTTGCGACACAAAGTGCCCTTTTGATTCCTTGATTACCATGCCCTTTTTAGGGTCTAGATTTAACACAATTAAAAAATATAAATAAATCACTCAATGAGTGTCTGCTTTATTTTGATTTTTTTTTTAAATTATTGTTTTTGTCATTTGTTTTAATTAATTTAAAACAATATTGAACAATACTGAAATTGATATAGGGCTACTATAACTATTTCACATGATGGGTGTGAAATTAGCATCGCGCTACACCCGGGGCTTCCATTTTTCAGGATGGGGCTAGTGGTTTTCAGCACTGAGGAATCCCCTTGGGCTATTAGGAATTTTAAAATATACATGTAATACATGAAAAGCACCACCTGTATTTTCACTATTTTTTTGCTATTAAATTCCTAATATGTAAATATTCCAGACAGCATGCTCATATTATCCATAAATCTCCACAACTGCATCCATTTTGCAGT